GTCTGAGTAGAGCCACAAACATCCAGGGAAGGGACAGCACCCAGGCCTGGTGTCCCTGGTTTGGCCATGCATCCCTGAGTGGCCAAGTGACCCCCTTTCCCCTGGACCCTTAAGCAAAGCAGGTGCGTGGGACAGCCCAGAAGGTGGGCTTCTTATCCCTACCACCCCTACACCTGCAGGATTCTGGCAAGGTCCAGGGAGCAGCTGAGTCTGGGGCAGTTTCCCACCTGGAAGGAGCTGGGCTTTCCCCAAAGCAGCTCCAGAGCACAGAAAATAGCGCGAGGGGCTCTCTGTCCTCCTCGCTCTCTTCCTCAGGGTGTCTGTGAGAAAACTGAGCAGGAGGAACGGGTCCTGTGGGAGAATTCTTGTCGAGGGTGGAAGCCTGCCTAGATCCCAAGCAGGAGCAGCAGGACTGGGACAGACTGGAGAGGCTGAGGGGAGCAGTTCGTGCTCTGTCTACACTGGGAGCTGAGCCCAGCCTCCGAGCCTATGGCAGTGCTGGTCCTCTCCATCAGGATGCTGCAGCACTGTGGGAACGGCCGGAGGGACTCCTGGGATGGGGCTTGTTTGCCTCTCCACCCACCTCCTGCCCTGGTCTGGGAGGCCTCCAGGCCTGGAGAGAGGGTCCTCGGGTCTCAGTGACCATTGCACCCTGAGTGATTGCCAGCCTCTCCAGGACTCAACTTCTCCCCCTGCAGAAGGGAGGGATCTCGCTGGATGCATGCCAAGACCTCCTCCAGCTTCAACATTTCCTTCACTGTTCTTGAACTAAAAGCACGGAAACAACCAGGCAGAACTGGTCTTTTCTTGGTGGAATGTCAGCTGCTCCCACAATGTGTGGCACAATGTCACGTCATATCCTGGGGCTCCTGTACCTCCCAATGTTTCTCGCCCTGGGAACCTCAATCCCAACAAAACCAACAAGCCACTCATCATCTTTCCAGATCATTAACTTTGATGGCAGTGGCAAAGATTGGGTCAGATCTCAGTTCTTATCCAGCTGTAATGAGCTTAGAACCCTCAGTGCCTTATTTCCGGGCACCGTGAGGCTGTGCTTACCAGCGCTCACACCAGTAAATGACATCCAAATGGGCCACAAACAATGTCAGATTTGCATTTTGTATGTTTTCTCTGTTTCCCTGAAAATAATTGAGGCTCAGGTTCATCCTTCCCCAAGACACGTCTTGTGTGTGCCATGAGGGGACGCTGGGAAGGGCGGTCACTCCGCACTGAGGGGACTCTCCAGAGGTTTGGAGAGTTTCCTGTGCACCCAGGCAGGACCCACTCACTGTACACTTTGGGAACTCACTTTTCTCTCAGGGCTGAATCTGACCTTTCAGGTTGTTTTTGTGCACACGTGTGTGTTTCTGTGTGCTGTCAGGGACATCTCATGTGTGTAGCATGTTTATCAAGCCAGCATAGTGCAGCCTACTCATCAGAGGCCAGATGCCCCGCGAGGTGCACACGCAGAGGTAGAGCCTCCAGTTTGGCCAATTGTCTGCTGCACCGCTGAGACTGTGTCTCTAAACAAGTGGGTGCCTGCAGCAGATCCTTGGCATTTGGACGGTCGGCACTGTTTGGGGTGAGGACGTGGCTAGTCCCTGCCCCCGGCTGTGCACACTCAGCCACACACATCCCCTCCTTGGCCTTGGGACAAGGAGAGCATGTGCCTTGCTAACCAGTGCTTAGTGTTTGCCTTGTGACCACTGCGGCCTTCTCCGCACTGAGCCTCAGTTGGCCAGTCTCGTGTCCTTTCTCATGCACATTCTGTAATAAAGGACTCATCTCCCCATTTGATTTTCTATGCCCATCTTAATTCACACCCAGTGTCTCTGGGGAGGCTTCCACTCCCCCACAGTGTGGAAGAAGCTCACTTGACTGGCTGGTGTACCAGAACTTCTTTGAGTCTTTGGGTCCTGAATTCGAATCTCCTCTTCTTGATTTACCCCTCTCTCTTTGTATAAGGCAGCCTCCGGGAGCTTCTGAAGCAAAGAGGATGTCTTGGAGACCCTCCTGGAGACCTTGTGAAATTAAAAATATCTCAAATGTTTCTGCTTTCATACTAGCTGATATTGGACTGGTGTCTTAGTCTGCCGTGGGCTGCTGTAGCAGAACCCCCCACACAGGGTAATTTACGACAAGCAAGACTTTATCAGGGTCATGATTCTGAAGGCTGGGAAGTCCAGGACCCAGGACCCTGTGTGGCCACAGCCTTGGCCCCTGTCTTGCTCCGGGGAGATATCAGGTAGGCAGGAGACAGGGAAGCCAGATTTCTCCTAGAAACATATAGTTCAGGAAACAGCCTTGGGAAAAAGTATGGGATCGCAGTGTCTAACGATAAAATATTCACTCTACAAACACAAATTACCAGTGACATGTGAGTTTCTGAGATCCCAGAGACTTGCGGTCCTACCATGAAAGCCCCACACATCTGAAATACGGGAGGCCAAACATATAACTGGTAATTCTGACTTGGCCCAACTGCTGCTCCCGCCCTCACAGGTACCTTTTCTGGCTCAACTGCTTCTTGTGGCCCTTGGGGTGGGGCTGGCTGGAATCGTGGGGTGCATTTCTTCTGAGACTCACAGCCGGAGATTTTCCCCCCGCCAGAGCTTTGCTGCTCTGGCCTGTTAGGTGGGCTTCCCCCGTCTGGAACACGTTATGGAAAGAGCCGATGAATACACATCTGCAAAGAGCTTTGTGAGTCTAAGGAATAACCTCCCCTGGGTGGGTATGGCGGTGTACTCCTGTGGTCCCAGCACTCGGGGAGGCTGAAGCAGGAGAATCACTGAGTTCAAGGCTAGCCTGGGCTACACAGCAAGACCTTGTCTTAAAAAAGAAAAAAGAATAACCTCCTCTGTTCTCAAGTGGTCTGGAACAGAGATTGGATTCAATATCAGTCTTTCCAAACCATGGAGATGATGGGGAGATGGCCAGGAGGTGGCCCTCACCAGAACCTGGCCAAGCTGTCCCCTGACCTCGGACTTCCCGCTACCAGAATCATGGCAAAGTTTCTGATTAAAAGCCACGGGTCTGTGGCACTTTCTGATAGCAGCCAGAAGGCACAGAGACATGGGCAACCCTCCTCCCCGGCACTTGGCCCCTGTGCCCCTTCACCCTGGCCACCCGCATGCTCTGGGTTGGAGGTCCACAGAGCAATGTCTCCCAGATCCAAAAGGGCACAAGACCTGGGAGGAGGGACAGGAGACGATTGCTGTAAAAACCAACCGTCTGCACGGACACAGTGTTTATCAAGACACAGGGAGGGCCGGGGATGTAGCTCAGTGGTTCCAGCGCATGCCTCACAAGCGCAAGGTCCTGAGTTCGATCTCCGGTACCAAAAAAAAAAAAAAAAAGACGCAGGGAAAAAAAGGTTGGTCAAGAATTGGGGCTTAAGGTTTTTTTTTTTTTTTTGGTAACAGGGATCGAACTCGGGACCTTGAGTTTAAAGTGCAGGCAGCAGAACCACTGAGCTAAATCCCCAGCCCTGAGGCTTGAGGTTTTAACATCGAAGTTATCTGACTCTGAAACTTTTGTGCTTGGAACTGAGGAGCTGGGGAACTTCTAGGAAGGGTTTCCTCAGGGCTTCCCACATCCAGTGCTACCCCTGCAGCTACTGTGCTCCTTTCAGTGTGTTTTGATCAGATTTTTTTTTTTTTTATATGGGGGATCAAACTCAGGACCTTGTGCTTGCGAGGCAGGCAGCAGAACCACTGAGCTAAATCCCCGGCCCTGTTTTGATCAGATTTTAAAGACGGATGCTACCTGCAGATGACAGGATGCTCATAGGACTCGCTTTTCATAGTTCTCTTTTGTCCAAGATAAATGAAATAACCAGGCTTCTAGGAAAATGACCACATTTTGCCTCCCAGGAAGCTTCAAAAAGCAATTGAGTGCTGGGCATGGTGGAGCACGTCTGTAATCCCAGCACTTGGGAAGCTGAGGCAGAAGGATCACAGTGAGTTCAAGGTCAGTCTGGGCTCCATGGTGAGTTCAAACCCAGCCTGAAATGCATAGCAAGATCCTGTCTTAAAAAGAAAAAGGTGATGGAGTGGCAAAGCTGTGCTAGAATTATCCAGATGAATTTTGCATCCAGAAATACATCTTTGTGTACCTTCAGGTCCCTGCGGTGACACCTGCAGGAGCTGGGAAATGAGGGCTCTTCTGAGTGAGCAAAACAGGCTTGGTGTGTGAGATGTACATATCTGTCACACATACTCCTTGACTGAAAAACTGTCCCTTAAATTCCACTTGAAATCCTTAGACTCTGAGGGGCACTTGCAGATGCACCTCACACAGCCAGAGAATTGGGGCATCTGGCTTTGGGGCCTCTCCAAAACCTTGTGGGGAGCCCACAGACACCCACCCACAGGTGCCCATTTATCAGCATCCAGCAGCTGGGTTTCTGTCCTGCCCAGGAGTTATGAGAAGGGCTCTTCATACATCAAAAACATAACAGCTGGTTGTGGTGGTTCATGTAACCTCAGGAATATGCAAGTTTGAGTCCAGCCTAGGCAATGTAAGGAGACTCTATCTGGAAAAAAAAGTCTGGGAATATACCCCAGTGTGAAGCTCCTGGGATCTATTTCTAGCACCAGAAACACACACACACACACACACACACACACACACACATACACAAAGGGTGCAAAGTGACTGCCTAGGCTTGTGTTGATTTTTTGGTTTCCAAAATGCTTTTCAGTTTTGTTCTGTTTCCTTTTTCAAATCACTGGATGGGCTGAGTGAGATCCCCTTGTGGGAACTGCAGCCTTACCCTAAACACCACTAGGCGGGGAACTCAGGAGTCCCAACAGCCAGATCCTTCTCAATTGCTGCTCACCAGCCCAGCCACTGACTGTCACTGTAAAGCATGCTGCATTCTCTCCACTCCCATAGGTTAGCCCTTAAGGCTCTCCAGCTGGGAGTTTAGCGGAAAAAGCGCGTCCTCCTGGAAGAGAAAAGAGAACCCCGCACTGTTGCCAATGCAGAGAGGAAAGTACCTGAAATCCTGTCCCAGTTGAAAACCAGTGCATCAGGTGTCCTCCTTCCACTCCACTTTCCCCATCAGCCTGCTCTGAGTCTGTGTGAAGGAATCAGAGAAGACAGGATGAGTGAGGTTTTGCATTTTGAACTAGTTTTATTTTATGTTACTGGGGTTGATGCACTGAAAAAAATGGTGTTGGGAACAAGGTGTCAACTATTTAAAAAAATAGAAAGCATATTTTGCCACACTGAGAAATTCCTTTGTAATGCTATCAGTCATTTTAAATTAGTCACCTTATGAATTTGGGGCTTGAAGATCTTGTTTTTCTAAAGCAAAATACACCTACCTGGACTGGCTTCAACTCCAAGACTGTTTCCCACCTATTTTCCCTTTAAATAAGTGGACCAATGGCAAAAGATAAGCTATATCTCTGGGCATGGTGCTGCAGGCCTATAATCCCAGTGCTCTGGGAGGCTGAGGCAGGAGGATCAAAAGTTCAAGCCTGGCCAGCTTAGTGATTGAATCCCCCAGTTTCCTTACAGAGCTAAAATTGTTCATCCCTCCTCTGAAGGACTGCAGGAATGTTGCTCTTCCAGGATGCTTCCACAACCTCGCAAGATCTCAGCGGTCTTTCATCACCATCGCCATCCTCATTGTCATCACCAACACGTTGCAATGTTTAGAAACAAGGTTGGGGAGTCAGACTGCAGACCGGGTTTATTTAGGAGCATTCAGTCATTGACTTTATGGAGGCCATCTTTAGCGTGTGTTTACTAGTATATAACACGCTCAAGCACAATCTCCGCCCCCGTTGCAAAGGCGGTCCTTTCTCAGGAGCCCTTTCCTGCAGTGCAGATGACCGCCAGCAGGTGGCACCACTCAGGCTCAGGCCGGCCAGTGACCCAGAGGGAAACGGAGGGCTCAGGAGCTAAAAAGTAGGCAGGTTCCGTTCTCTCTTTCTTGTTTTCTGTCTAAACACATCTGATTGCCCGCCTTTTATCAACATGTTTGTATCCAGGTCTCTTGTGCACCACGGAGCTACTTCAGCACAAGGTATCAATCATGAATTAGGAAGGATAAGTTCCTATACAAAGAATATTTATGTCTTAATTGTCTCGAAAGCTTGGCACGGTAATTGAAGAATCCAAAGGTCAAAAAAATCTACTTTGTCTTTCTTATTTTTCAAGAAATCAAGAGGCCAGTAACCCAAAGATTGATAGAAATACGTTTTCCTTGTCTCTTCTACACATTTTACTAGGTGGTAAAGATGTCAAGCTGACAGGACTAGGTGATGTTTCCTATCTAAAGGTGAATATGCCTCAGCATGCCCACTAATAGAGATGCTACGTTATCAACTAAAGGAATAACTGGAGAAATCAGAAAAGAGGTAATCATAAGGAATAGTGATCGCTGGAAAAAAATGTTTACCTGAGTAGCAATCAAATACAAGCGCCCTTACTGAGCTGTCATGACTCACAGACGACATTGTCAAGTGCACAACATGTATGAGCCACAAGTGCCACAGGGGCAAAGGCAGATTGATCCAATAGGGGACAAACCTGGAGGCCCAGGAGCATTAAAAATATTTATGACCTTTGACTCCTTTGAACCCTGTTGGAATCTGACTCTAGGAGAAAAACTCTGAAATTCAGAGATACGTGGTCATGTTTTTTACTCCAGCAGGACGCCTAAAAGAAAAACACAGCATGCATCCTAAAAATTGCAACAGAATAGTTAAGAAAATTATAAAACATTCATATGAGTGTGTGTATTTAGCCAATGGAAAAGAAATCCCTCTATCTACTTTCAGAGAAAAGCAGCTGGAACTTCTAGGCACATTGTCTCTGCTTATCTATATTTGTTAATTGTATATGATTAGCATGTTTATTCAGTAATTAGGAAAACCATTAAGTGACTTCAAGAAGTAAATTTACAGGTGGGTGTGGTGCCTGAATTTCCAATACTCTGGGAGGCTGAGACAGGAGGATGGCTTTCAATTCAGGGCCAACATGGGCTACATAGTGACTCCAAGGTCAGTCTGAACTACAAAGCCTAACATTGTCTCCAAAAAAAAAAGAAGTAAATTTACTAAGACTGTATGAACAAGTGCTTATAAGGTATTAAGTGAATAGAAAGAAGAGCAGAAAATACAGAGTGAGCTAAAGGATGTAAAATAATATACATCAAAAGGGAAGCTGTGTGTAGTGGTGCACACCTGTGATCCCGGCAGGCACTCCGAGAGGTGGAGGCAGCGGGAGGGCAGGTTTAAGCCCAGCCCGGGGCAATTTAGCAATTTAGTGAGCACCTATCTCAAGACAAAACCCTCAAATTTGAAAAGGCTAGGGCCAGGGGGTTAGCTCAGCGGTGCTGCCGCCTGCCTCACAAGCAGAAGGTCCCAAGTTAGATCCCCAGTACCAAAAAAAAAAAAAATTTAAGAAGGCTGGGGTTGTAGCTCAGTGTGAAGGCCCTGGGTTTCATCCCCAGTACTGAAAAATGGAGGGGAGGCAACACAGTGGTAAGTTGGAAAGGATTATCATTATGGTGGGATACCTTGAATGTGTCTTGTTTGAAATTCAAACGTTGAATCTTAATACCCAGTGCAATGAGATTAAAAGGTGGCCCCTTAAGAGGTGATAGGTCTTGAGGGCCCTTCTCCTCCTGAATGGGACAAAGGTCCTTATAAAAGAGCTATGGCTCCCTCTAGCCCTTCTGCCTCCCACTGTGTGAGGACATGGCACCTTTCCCTCTGGAGGACCCAGCAAGGGCTGCCATCTTGGAAGCAGAGAGCCCTCACCAGACACGGGACCTTCTGGGGCCTTGACTTTGGACTGCAGCCTCCAGAATCATAAGAACTAAATTTTTGTTCTTTGAAGATTACCTAGCCTGGGGCATTCTGTTATAGCAACATAGGACACTAAGAAAAGGAGTAATTTTATTTTCTTCATTTCAAGTTTTCTACACTGAGCCTTTATCACTTTTAGTCCCAGAAAATAAGTTTTTAATGAAAAAGTGAACTGACTTATAATTCATACCATCACATAAAAAAATTAACTCAAAATGGACTACAGACTTAAATGTAAAACCTAAAATCATAAAACTTCTGGAAGAAAATCTTTGTAACTTTGGGTTAGACAAAGATTACTTAGCACATCAAAAACACAACTTATCAAAGAAAAAAATGGTAATTTGGACTTTGTCTCAATAAACACATATATTCTATGAAAGACATTTAAGAATATGAAAAGACAAGATACTGACTGGGAGAAGATATTTGCAAAACAAATAAAGACTTGTATCCATCACATAAAAAGAATTTTCAAAACTAGATCACGAGAAACTACACAAAGAAAACACAAAGGTTCAGATATGTTACCAAAGAAGATCGAAGGAAGGCAAAAAACACACACACAAAAATTCTCAACATGGTCACCATTAGGGAAACACAAATTGAAATCACAATGAAATACCTCTACATATCTATGAGGATGGCTAAATTAAAAAAAAACAACAATATGAAGTGCTGACAAGTATTTTGAGCAACTGTATCTCAATGCTGCTTGTTCAGGTACAAAATGGGCCAACCTCAGAGACCAGCTTGGAGGTTTCTTGGTATTGAACATGCATGTCCCAGATTACTCAGCAACGTACCTCCAGGTGTTTATCCAAGAGAAGTGAAAATGTGTGTACACACACACTGGCTTGAGAATGTTCACGGCAACTGATTTCCAACCACCAAACACTAGGAACACTTCAGTCAGCTGGTGAATGGATAGAAAAGTGGGGCTCATCATCACAAAGAAACCCTACTCGGCACCAAAAAGAAGAAAACATGCTACACTCTACAATGCAGAGGAATCACAAATGCGCAATGCTAAGCGAGTAGACTGCGTGTGGCGGGATTATGATTTTGGGAACTAGAATGGGCAAAATAAAGGCAAAAAGCAGGCCAGTAGTCAACAAGGGCTGGGGCTAGGGAAGGCTTGATGACAGAGAAATAGGAAGGCGGTGGGCAGATTTGCAACTACTTTCACATTTTTATATACAGTGGTACCTCAGTTCATGAAGACTTTTGTTTGCAAACAATTTGGTTCTCAAACAGAAGTGTTTGGCAAAATTTTGTTTCTGTTTGCAAACTCTGCATTGGGTGACAAACACGGTCGCAGCCATCTTTCCCACAGAAACACAAATGTGGCGATCTTTACCAAAATCATAGAACAAATGAAGTTCTTTAACGGAGGTACCACTGTCATATATATACGCTATATATATAGCATATATATAATGTATTTCCAAAAATGAGTTAGTGCTATGCTCTCTGACCTGGCTCACACCCTAAGCACAGCCCCCTACCTCTCCTACTGTCCCTTTACCCTGAAGGGCTTCTCTCCTCCAGTTACTCATGTTGCCACCTCATCCCCAGCCATGTTAAAAGGTTCATCCTGGCAGAGACAGCTGGTACTGCTTCATAACTTAGCTACTTCCTGTACTCAGTGGAGCATGTTATATGTGACAGGTGGCCAGTGGAAAGTGAACAAACAGTTGGCCAAGCCCATTTGGGTGCGCTGTTCAGACCTTATGCAGTGGGCAAATATTTACTGCTCAGGAGGCAGAACTGCCTTGCTTTCATTATCTGCTGGTGAAAATTTCATCCTTCCAGTTGCACAATATATTAATCTGATTTGAAGTTACAGAGTATTTTTAGACTTGCTCTTTCCTGCTTTTTTGTTCCCTTCTTCTGGTTCCAGGTTCCTCTGGGAAGGGTACAGCCACATCCTCGCAACCCCAGATGTGGCATGCAGTGTCTGACCGGTGCCAGCTTCTGCAGCTGGACTCTGACGGTGTTGGGGAGGGAAAGGTTCCATCTATTACGATTCTCTCAGGGGCTCAGCAGCCTGAATCACGCCCATTCCCCAACTGGTCCTTGAAGCTGGGGGCGTAGTATCCTAGCAGTTCCTGTGCACCACAGGCTGGGGTAGGGAACGGCGGAGAAAGTAATTCCCCCAAAGGGATGATTTTTCTTCAGCAGATAGGCAGGACAATAAATGTCCACCACACAAAGCCAGTCCTGGCTCTGATCCTGCTAGGTTGGGTGGCTTCTGCCAAGTTCTTGATTCTCACGTTACCTCAGTTTCCTTGTTCTGTAAGATGTCTTCTAATTCTAAAATCTAATTATTCCAGCCAAGTGTAGTGGTGCACATCTATAATCACAGAACTTGAGAGGCTAAGACAGTAGGGTCCTTGTGAGTTCCAGGCCAGTGAGTTCCAGGCCAACCTGAACTACATAGTGAGACTCTGTCTCAAAAAACAATAAGCACAAAAATAAATCTGATTATTCTAGAAGGAATGGGCACAGGGTTTCTTCCTTTTTAAAAATCTTTATGGGATCACCCTGGGGATTTAGCTCAGTGGTTCCACCGCCTGCCTCGCAAGTGCAAGGTCCTGAGTTAGATTCCTTGGTACCAAAAAAAAAAAAAAAAAAAATCTTCGTGGGAACATTGGTGCTTCCTCAGGCTTCAGAAATCTCCTGAACACCACAGCCTACTTATTGTGTAGTGAATTATTGCTGTGTGCCGTAGAAACTCCAGTCTCTTCCCTCACGGATATGTAAGGAAATTAAGGTCCAAGTATGTTCAGTGACTGCTGTGAGATCACATAACACCAAAAAGGCACCCAGGAAATGCTCAGGGCTGTTGTGGAGGCTGGGCTTCAAGAGGTTTGTCAGTAGTCAAGATAATCAACTACAGTTAAACTTAACAATCAATACCCAAGGAAGTAAATTGATGGGTATTAGAAGAACGCTGCTGGCTTTGAGCATGGAACCCCTAACTTCATTCAGTGAGAACACGTTCGGATCTCTCGGTCTTGCAGACTCATGGAGGACCCAGTTCTGCACTGCCACCTGCACGGAGCTGGTGGTGGATAGAGATGGAAACTCCTATGGGAGGCACAGCATCCTGTTCATTTTTGTGCTCAGCCCCAGCCTGGCATGTCTCAGGGGCCTGAGCCCCTGGAAAGCATCCCAAAAGTGGCAAAGATACACACAAAGAAATAATTGTAGGTGGTGTAGTGGGAGACCGAATGCAAGGATAATGAGCATTCAGACAACACAGAGAATTAGATCTTAGAAGAATGAAAAAAAACTGCAAGAAAAAAATGTGACAGCTTGAATGAACTTTGGAAATAAACATGGAATGTGGACAAACGGTAAAAGGTAAGTTACACTGGTAGGCATCGGGGTGCACACCTTTAATAGCAGCACTCTGGGAGGCTGAGGCAGGAGGATGACCAGCTCAAACCCAGCTGGGGCAACTTAACAAGACTTTGTGCCAAAATAAAAAATAAGAAAGTGGCTGGGGATCAAGGTCAGTGGTGAGGCCCTAGGGTCAAACTCCAGCAACGAAAAACAAAAGCTAATCAGGAACCAAGCATAGATTTAATTCAGGAAGTTATTTAAGATCCCACATCCAGTGGCATTCCTGATGTCACCATTAGTAGCATGCAGTGATTCTGCCCAGCTTTTTGCAGAATGGAAAACATCATACAGAAGTCCCTGGCAAGTGACATGGAGAAGGCTTGTGCACCTTGTGTCTATCCTTCTCTTCAGCAACCCGGGTGGCCTTGTCACTCTGCTGTCTCTTTGTAAACACAGGAGGGATGGCAGAGACCTGGGGGGGCAGCTTTAAACACGCATGACTGGCACCAAGCTCTTGTCAGAGCAGCACCAGTAACGTGTGTCACCGACAGAAGGAACCATTCCTGTTTATGAACCAGAGGGATGCCTGTAGGGTTCTACTTCCACCCCTGCTATGTGGGTGGGACTCTGATGAGCAGGGCACCTGTGTGCTGGAAGCGAGAACCAGAATTGCCCTTGATCTGTAATCAATAGGTTAATTATCATTTTAGAAGACTCAAGTGAAATTCCAGCACATAATGAAACTCCAGACCTTGAGTTTGCATACTATCCCACAGTGATTAAACAGAACATTCTTCAGAATGGTATTTGACTGCTCTGTGTAAATTCTTATTTCCATTATTAAACACATCAATTCATTGACATCTTTAGATCAAAAATCACTCAAGTCATTTGGAGCAATTCATGTGGAGTCTTATCAGTATTAGGATGACATCATTTTAATGACTTTATAATGAAAGTATTCTTAAAATAGGAAGAAAAAAATGGCTAAGGAAAAAGCACCGTGTAAAGACTTTGTCATGACGGCAAGTAGCATCCAAGACAGGGAAGCAAGAATGAAAGGGCGAGTGTGGGGCCCTGTCCAAGGGTACACCCCACTCAGGAGGACACGGCAGATGCCTCCTGTATGTCAGAGTGGTGTGAAGACTGCCGGGGGAAGAGTTTGGGACAAACTAGAGATGAGGTTCTCAGGCCACCTGGACTTCTGAACGACAAAATTCACATTCGGGGCTCCTCTGTGACCTCAGATCTGTTAATACCTGGAAAAGTCATAGAACTCAAGAAAGCACCACACTTACAATTAGAGTTTTATTACAGAAAAAAAAAAAGACACAAAGCAAGACTGGCCAAAGGAAGAGAGGCACAGGGTCAGTCCAGGAGAACTTCAAATGCAAAGCCCCTTGTCCTCTCCCATGGAGACCTTGGGCTCAAGAGGCTGGTGTACTGTCTGGGTCTTTGGGGGACTGCTTTGGCTTTGCTGATCCTCATCATCAGACTTCTGATTTCCGTCCCATGAGTTTCTGCTTTCATCTTGTTTCTTCCTTCTACTTTTCTGTGTTAGACCTCTTGCTGCTTTTCTAACAGGGATTCTTCACTCAAATTCTTTTTGCCTTTTTCTTTTGTTTACTTAAGCATTTAAATCTGTATATTTTCTTTTAAATTTACTACAGCCTATATGTAAAAATTTCACCATCAGTTCTAAGTACTTTTTTTTTTTTTGGAACTGGGGATCAAACCTGGGTCCTCAGCTTATGAGGCAGGTGGTGGAACCACTGAGCTAAATCCCTGGCCCTGATCTAAGTACTTTTAAAGTTACTACATGATTTTAAAATTTATCCATGAGTTATTGTGTAGTTTATTTCTCAATTTTACAAACATATCAGGGTTTATTTCATCTTTTGCTATTGATTTTTTTTTTCAGCACTGGAGACTGAACGCAGGGCCTTTGCACTTAGCTACATCCAGTCCTTTTTTTATTTCTTATTTTGAGACAGGATCTCTCTAAATTGTTTGGGCTGGGCTTGAACTTGAAATCCTTCTACCTCAGCCTCCCAGAATGCTGAGATTGCAGGTGTGTGCCATTACATCTGACTTGCTTTTGACTTTTAACTGCTTACATTATAATTAAAGGATATGGTCTTCATGATGTATATACCCTTTGAAATACAAAATGAAAACAAGACTTCTGTAAATAAGGTGGAGAAGAAGTGTTGAAGGGAGGAGAAGAAGGGTTAAAGGGAGGGGAGTAGAATTGGGGAGAAAAGAAGATTTGAGATATATTATCTACAGGTACATGGGCCAGGGATTTAGCTCAATGGCACCAAGCCTGCCTCGCAAGGGCAAGGTTCTGAGTTTGATCCTCAGTACCGGGAAAATAAATAAATAAATAAAGATATATTATGTACAGGTAAAAATTTCCCACAGTGAATATGATCTGTGTGTATATCAAAAGAATACCAATAAAACTAATTTTAAAAAGAAATACATTACACTTGCTTCACAGCCTGATGATAAATTATTTATTCAGATGTTCGATATTTACTTGAAAAGAATGTATATTCTGTA